GATATACACAATTAGACATGTATTTGCCATATCTCGAAAGATCTCATTCATAAGGGACTGAAAAATGAAGGGTGCATTTGTGAGTCCATATGGCATTACCAGATATCTGTAGTTCCCTCTAAAGTGATAAATTCTGTTATCCATTCATTCATCTCCCAAAATCATGTGACGTTGTAATGAACTAAGGTTTAACTTGGCAAAGATGGAATCCAAACTCAGGGACATAATCACAAAGTCAAATACCAGCAACATGGGAAAAAAAATCATCAAATTACAAATCAAAGAACAAGAAATCCAGAAGAAAAAAGAGAAGTCATTCATGGAAAAAGGACAGTGACAAATACTGAGTATTATGAAACACGCAATACTTCACATGGATGTAACTGAACACGAGGTGCTTTTACAATCTGCTACTTATATTGAGCTGATGAGCAAGAAGTGCCATTTGCAGTGAGGGGAGTCGGAATGAGACCCATGTGTGGACATAGCTGGATGGACACTTTTGGTGTGACGTGGGCATGATGAAGCTAATGCATCACAGGTCCTATCACACTGTCTTTTGCCCTGAAGTTAATTTATGGAAATTCTGAAATATATTCCACACACGAGATTTATGAACTATGAAGTTTACAGTGAGCCTCACTGCTGATTATGTAAACATTGATGCATCTTCAGCTGTCTACGTATTACCTACTTGTGTGACATTTAGCTGAAGCCAATATTATATTTTAGTAATTAAGCCAGAGAGGAACTACTTTTAAAGAGGCGTGGAGATGGAAAAGGATAAGGGGGAGGACTGGGTGCAGGGGGAGAAGTTCTCATTAGTGATTGTGCTTCATGCATGTCAGAAAGGCTTTGGATATGAAACACTTCAGATGATTTCTGTCTGCTGTTCTGGTGGCCGCCCTGCACGACGGGTGGGGGGAGTTGTAAAAAAATTACAGAGCAACTGGAGTGGATTTAATAAAGCCCACTGGTGATGCTTTGATCTTTCCCCTACTGCTGTTACCATGCAACACACACCCCACTTCCCCCAAAACTCCCTACCAGTCCAACTTTGCCCCCCCACCCACCAAACCCCAACTGTAAAGAATGTGGCCGCAGGACACATTGTGCCGAACGAAGCTGGGGACGTCCCCCCGAATGAGCACGCAGGCTGGCGCGAGGGCGGGGCCTGCAGTTGAAAGCACAGAGTGGGTGACTAATATTTAGACACATGGTACAGCGTTTTGTTCACATTTCACAAAATGAAAAAAATGACATAGGCATAACACCATTTCTAATTAACATAAACACAAGATTTGATAAACAAGCAACAAATATTGTTAAATCACTGCAATATATTTGCAGAATAATTACTTGAGAAAATTGAAATATTTTTAAAATGCAATTTATGTGAATAGTAATGTCTCCACGTGTTACTTGTCTTCACTTACTATTGCATGTAAAATTGTCAATTATCCATTCATTCTTCATTTATTCATATGTATCCCGTTCTTTCTTGCACAGCACAGACTTTGACTGGAAACCTTTAACCTGGAGTGATTTTTGAACATTCAGACTCATTTCAGTACACAGCTAAAGTAAAGAAACTCCCTGTGTGTCTGGCCTCCTTTATAATTTCATGATGATTAGGTGTCTGACAAACGGGGCCCTTTGAAAGTGCCTGATTAACACCATTTATAAGTAAATCATGGCTGTATGCTCACAGCTCCTTGGGTAACTGATGATTAGCCTGCGATTTTGTACGGAGGCTGTGACGCAATGTTGCGAGAGCCAAGTTGTTCTGCACAATGGGCAAGAGACGTCAGCGGTTAAGGAGCCGCCGCAGGGTTACCGCCCAGCTTCATTTGTGTGAGCGCAAGGGCGTCTCGCTCTACGCAGGCGAACATTCGCTTGCCTTTCAAAAACAAAGAAGCGACAAAACGAATCGATGTCGGTCTGCTTAAATGGATGTGATGCTGTTTCATAAGGAATGACTCGCTCCCAATAAACTGAGCAGGTACTGTGTACGGAAACTTGACAGAGATGTGTACTCCGCAATGCAAAGTCAGGAGAAGGGATTTCCAATAAAAGTTTATCTATTTTTCCTGATGCTATTATTTTTACTACAGTACATGCATAAACACACCGAATATCTTGAATAATTATGAAATTGCTACTATCCGCAACTAAAAATATCATTGGGGGATTCCCCGATCAGCAGGGGATTCCCCCAGGTGAAAAATATTCAGAGTGAAAATTCTAGGGGTGTCCCACCTGCTCCATAGTTCTTAGTTATTTATAAAATCATGTGTTTGAGGTGGGGGTGCTTAGCTCTGGTCTTTTTTCATTTGGTGCTCCTTGGTTTAAGAAAGACTGGGAACCCTTGTCCCTATATTACTATGAACATTAATATTGAGAGTGAAAAATATCAGTATTTAATGTTAATGCAACCTGTCCTGCCTCAGTAGACCAAAGCGAAAAGGATAATGCACATGATTATAGAAGACAAACTATAAATCTTTCTTCCCTTTTTATCACCAGATGAATTATTTGGTTAATTACTGGTATAAAAATCTGAATTTGATATTGTAAATAATTTTAGGTGTGTCACTTAAACACCAGCAGACTTGGTGATCTCACTGCCTTGTCAGTGGTATCAACATGGGCTGATATGTACTTCATTACATGAAATAAAATGCATTGTTATTGTTTCATTATGGCTTATGGCTTTGAGTAAAGAAAAATTGATATTTAGGTAGAAAAAAATCAACTTTTTATTCTCATCCCATACTGTTAGGGGAAAACATTAATCATAAGCCATCATAGAAAGAGCAGGGATGTAATAATAGTGAGCAAATACCTGACAAAGAAGTATGGACTCTGCTTGCAGAGTCCCCTTTATCTTTGTTATTAGTGTCTGTACCGGAATTGGCTCTCTCTTATTTTTCCCATTAAAGTTTTTGCCATTTATGGACTGTCTGAAGATGGCAGTGCCTGTTTTGATTAGGGAAACACAACAGAGCTGTTACATGCTAGTTTTTTTTCTGTTTTAAAAGGATGAATGAACTTTTATTTCACGTCTTCAGAATACATCCAGAATTCCTTCCTGGCATCCAGAATTTTCGCCTGGAATCAGTAAAGCGCACATTAATCTTCAACTTTATTCTGCATGCTTTCATCGGAAATCTTTGGTTTTAGGAGTAATATGTAAATATATGTTTTTGTGTCTTTATATCTCGCACCAAGACGTAAATGATGCTCAGTCACTATTTACATACCAAACAAAATTCAATAATGGGGTTTTAAACATTAATAGCAAAAAACGAAGATGATTAGTGAAGAGTTTCCATCGGTGAAGAAAATGCAAATGCTCCGCAGCTCGCTCCTCTGTGGTTCTAGGAGGATCGATTTCGTTTAGATGGCATCAGATCCAGGAGAGGAACACTGCTCAGATCTGAAAGGCAAATAATGCTGCGCTTACTACTTACCATACCTAATTCAAGAAGCTGGGTACTCCAAGCCAAAGTGATGTGCATTCAGGTCTTGTATGTTTTCTGTGTCTATTCCATCCTACATATATGTATTTTTTGGAAACCAGGCCACTGGGGAGCTAATTTAGTGGGGTAGTGTCAGGTTGGAAAGCGGACAGAGGGGAACACTAATGAAAGCGTGGGCCGGCGGAAGCTTCCGGAGGAGCGCTAGAGACTGGCCTCAGTCAGATCTGCAATGGATGCTTCTGATGTCAGATTCCATTGGTCCAGCTCCACGTTAGATGCAGGGATGTATTCAGAACCAAATGCTACTTGGTTTCCAGCAGGTGAACATATGCATGCCTTGAAAGTAAACTCATCATAATGCAACCCATTGGATTGTTTTCACTCACTTTTATATAAATGTCTCTGAAACAGGTTTTCTTTTTGTAATTTCCTGTTTCTGAAATTTTCCATACTTCCACAATTCCCAAGCTTAAATCTGGTTATCCATTACAGAAGTGTTTCTCAACTTAGTCCCCGGGGGCCTCCGGACAGTCCACATTTTTGTTTCCTCCTATCCCCTAGCCTACCTGTGCCAGGTATTCGGTGTTGTTGATTGGCTGGGAGCTGGGAGGGAGCAAAAACGTGGACCCGGAAGACTGGGCGGAGAAACACTGCCTTACAGGATTGTGGATTCTGCCAAAATGTATTACATTTTGTAAACATCAGCACTGCGTAATGTGTACAAGATGATGTGTACAATTTTTTATCCAGATTTTTAAATGATATTTCCTTAGTCCTTATTTAACTGCATCTGTGCATGGCAGTGCTGAGACCCAACTGAGACACACAGCTCCGAAGCTGAAAGACTTATCGAAGAAAAGAAAACCCAAAAGCTGTTTCCCAGCTTCATCAGATGGCTGAAATTTATTTTCAACCACTTACCACATTCTTTGGCCGTTTCAGAAGTGCTGAACCTTAAGTAAATCAGCCAGGGTGTGACAGTAATGACCCCAGAGTGGAATTCAGTCTGCACACAGTTACACAAACAGTCATTCTCTGCTGCTCCAAGGAGTGTGATTAAAACTCACTCGCCAATATAGTACATTTGTTTAACACCCTTTGCAATAGCGAACTAAAATTATTTTAATTTAGAAGGCTTGGTTCTGCTGAGGGGGGGGGGCACTGACAAACATCTTTTAGATCAAAAAGGCTCTTCAGATCCAGCAGCAATTTTGGATGCTTTCCCATAATTCCTCAGCTAGTCCCTAAATAGTACTCCAGCTGTACGAGCCACAATTAGTCCGTCTTCCGTGATAACGCAAGGCCGCAGTCGTGGAACAGGGAAGCGGAGCACATCAATATGGCTCTCCTTATGAAGCCCGGCGTGAAATTAAGGTGGAAAGGTACCGCTGAGCCTCTTGTTGTTCCTGGCATAATTAGCATAGCCACTTTGGCTAGCACAGATCCACTGAAGTAAAACAATTCATGTGATTTAACCCCAAGAGCCCACAGAGAACCATAATTTTTTTCCCTCCACAGATTATGAAGATGTCCCCTTTTTCAGACTCAGCTGTCATCCCACCTCCTAAAGCATGGGAAATAATAACAGGAAGATGTGTGACTGGGCAGTCGCTTCTGCTGTCCGTTGCTGCTTGAGTGCAACGTATGGTCAGGTGGTGACTTACACATTCTCAAGTTGGACGCTGCAGGTAAGCATCCCAATGAAATATTCACCCTCGACCATCTTAGGGGCAGACAGTGGATAGAGAAGGAACAGGACCTAACATTACATATTTTTAAGGATACCCTTCTAATTAACCTAATTAATGTATTAGACGATATGTTGGATTCCACAGGACACTGGTCACAGGAGGGTTACTTCAGAGTTAATTTCCCATGGTTCTGAGATCTTACAGTCATCATGGCCAATGGTTATCTGCAACTGAATGGATCACTCTCTCTAAATCAGTCACTCCATGAGATCTT